ATGCATTTACCTAGCAGCATAAGAAGGTTTTATGTTGCCACAGAGAAAAACTGAAAAATCAGTTCTTCCACAGCACTATTTAAGAGCAAGTATTATGAAGCAACCTTTAATTAGAAAATCATTTGCTATGTTTTTCCTCTGGACCCCAATTCAATTCAATAAAAACATGCTGACATAAATATTCTTAGGAGCCAGCATCTTTGCATAACATCAGTACTTGACTGCACTGCGAAGCACAGAGCGAAGTGGGTCAGTTTTGAAGCTGAAATCCTGCAGCAATTGACTAAAGGTTTTTGAAAGGGTTGAGAAGATTTCCAAGGAAAGGTCAATTTAGACAAACTAGAGAAAAGGGGATAATCAATAGTTTAAAAGCCTATGCAGAACACAGTTGTAGCTTTTATGTCAAGATAGAAACAGATTAGAAAAATTTTCACTTGCAAGCTAAACTGGTTTTAATTCCAGGAGCAAGGAGATACTCAAAATTGTTCCTAGAATATTAACTTATTTGGCAGATAGCAAATATACTTCTACCCTACCAGATTCTCTACTTACTGACAAGAGCGGCATTGAAGATTACAATGATGCTTCCATAGAAAAGGCGAGTTTCGTCACTGCAGGGGTAACATCAACTTTGGAACTTGGAAAATGTTTATTCCTCTATGAAATTTCTACCTTGTTCTTTATTAAAATAAAACAAAAGTCACTGCCTCAATCAGGAATCAGTACTGCACCACCAAAATGTATCGCAAGACTCTCCCCAGCAAAATCTCAAAGTAAATTCTTTTTAATGATCTCAGACTATTATTAGTGGTACTGCAGTCTCCATCAGAGACGCAGAAGGAGGAGAGGAGAAAGTAAGGAGGAAAAGGCAAAAATTCAGAAAGACTCGCTGTCCTGAAAGGCACCGAAACACCAGTTTTCACCGATCTCACACTGGCACTAACCAGAGAGTGCCCGGAAGTTCAAAGTAACCTTTGGTGTCAAGTATTTAATGGCTTCTCTGTCCTGGAAATGATCTATTCCCCTTTCTCACATAAAATCTTGACAAAAAGATGTATAGACACTGCATAGGTGCAAAGAGAGGGCCTTCTTTTGGAGCAATAATCAGCTTCATGGTTCACATACCTTTTGTTAATACTGTGAACTGTTTTATAACTTTCCACATTAGTGTTATTTTCAAATAATCACCAAAATTCTAAATCTATTCCTAAAATTGCCTTTTAATATAATAAGGTTAATATTAAACTAGTCTAGCAGCTAATATAGGCAGTCAGTATATTGTAATGCCAACAATCTAAGAATATATTCCAAAAAGAAGTTGTTAATATGTCCCATAACAATTTTTGTCGGATTTTGAATTTAAATATAGGCAGGTTTCTGAATATGAAGTGTTCAGCCAAATATAAAATTAAATACTTTTCCTAAACTAGACACTTTCCAAACACAAAAGTGTGCAGGACTCTCCCTGAAAAGGGGGTTCACCTACCATACACAGATATATTAGCTTGCACAGATTAAAAACTTAATTTAATTAAATTTAATTTTTAGATGCAAAAAAATGCCTGGATGTTTGCCGGTTTAAAGCCCAAAGCAGACTTGTTACTACCCTGATAAAAAGCCCTGTGTATAGAACAGAATTTCATTCTACCCTTAAAGAACTGCTTGGCTCCATAACGTCTGTATGATACATTAAAAAGTCTGAAAAAGAGGAAGAAGAAAAAGTTTGAGGTCTGTCAAACAGCACTTTCCACCCTTCCTCTCAATAACTTGGATCAGTTTTACCCTATTTGGTATCTTCTGTTCTTACAAGTGACTCAGATAATTCTCCTCCCACACAAATTCAGTATAAAAAAAAAAAAAGAGGCTATCTACATCAAAATACATTTTGTGTAAAGCATTCTTCAGTTTACTTCCTGCAGGGATTGAATACAAAAAGCTTTTGACTGAAGTGACAGAGCTTTAGTGCCTAATAACTGTGAATAGAAAGACCAGATAGTCACATGAACGTGCAGGATAATTTACTAGCGCTAAAGGAGGACCTAAATTAAAAGCCATCAGCATCTGACTGAGTTTTAACATTTACTGGAAGCTTCAGAGAAGATCCTGTCTCCTCTGAAATATTACACTAAGCCTGTGAGACAGAGAAGATAAATGCCAAGCAGGGAAACACCTACAGCCAGTAACAAGGAAAAAAGAAGAGGATAAAAATCTATTAAGCTATTAGCAGCATGAACAAAAATCCATCTCCTTCCTAGTCAACAGCAAGTCCCACGAAAGACTTTGCACCTTAAGGTGATGGAAGCCAGAACCGTCCCTAATGCACCTTTATAAGCTTTTCCTCCCTTTGAATCCCTCAGTTAAAAAACAAAGTTCCACGGGTGATTAAGGCCAGCAAACCCAAGCCTACACCAAACCAACCAGAGGTTAGCTGAACCCAGAGCAACTGCTATTGAGAACTGAACTGCAAGCAGTCATCATGATTTTGCTCTTAATTCCTCAAGATGTGATGTCTGTATTAAAAAAAAAAAAAAATTCCATAATTTTAAACAAAGAATACATAAGCATATGAAGTTCCTATCACCCTCTTTGCAGCAACAAGATTTTCAGAGCAAAATCATGGTGGCATATACGCTGTATCTAAGTATTAGAGCTTAAATACATTCATTGCGGCAGACGAATGAAGTCCCTAATCAGGCCAGGTAATGCCTGGTACAAATCTAGGAAATACCTCAATCTTTCTTGCCATGTTTCCAATTTTTACCTTATTAGAATTAACCCAATTTATGTCAGTAATAATAGAAAGGGCAGAAACTACCACTTATTGTTATGAGTCCTATTATTTTACAAAACAAAGTGAAATAAATTTTATGGCTTTCCACAGTAGCATTACAGAGATCTCACAAAAAAAGCTTTCCTTACACTCTTTTGAACTAAAGCCAGAAATGATTATGTAGTTTTATTATTCTACCTGGAAAGCAGCCACAGCTAGCTAGGTACCACTTCTGCGAGTATTGCTCTCAAGAACAGAAAAGTCCGACTCAATAGCTGATCAATATTGAAATGTTACATTTACAGTAGATAGAAGCGACAGATCTGAGGTAGCAATTTTATTAATTCTGCTAATGAAAATGTTGTGCCACTTGCCACAGAAATGGAGAATTACTGCTTGTTTAGAACCCCACAAGTATTTTTTTTTTTAAATTTACTTATTAGATTAGGATTAGCATCCTGTAAACACCTTTTTCTATTTTAAAAGCAGGCTTTATTCATGTGCAAGGTACTCTCATTGAATCTCAGACAATCAGCTGATGGGAATATTTTTTCACTCTTTCTACTGCAAAGGTGAGTTCTAGTTGAGAGGTATGCTTAGCAATGAAATGTGAATAAAACAGATTTTTTTTTTAACCTTCACCTGTTAAATTGAGACAACAAAAAAAAAATTAAGGAGGAATGTGGAAAAGGTACCAAACAGCTTTAAAGCAGAAGATGTTTTAGCCATCAAAAAAGCGCTTCCATACCATTATCCCATTTCCAGTGGAAATCTCAGCCCCAGCCCTCTTTACAAATTGCACACAAACAGCAGCTCTATTTAACTCATTACTAACGGTGGTTTTTTAGTTATGATGATGCACAGTCCCTCTCCATTCAGCTCAGTTTTCCCTGGGCTGATGCCTGCAACAGAAGCTTACTAAAAACCACCACGCTTTCCCTCCCAAACAAAACTTCCAATATTTTAATATATATAATAACTCTAAGAGACAACATTTTCCATCATTTAACCGTGTATTACAAAAAACGTTTTCATAAAGGCGCATGCAGTGAACTGTACCTCGTTTTCGCCACACTCAGAAGGTGTATCCTTGTGTATAGCCATCTGATACTTGGCAAATAAAGTGGCTGACTGGTTGAAGGATGATTTGAACTGGGGGTCCTCAAAGGAGACAGGTACTAACCTCACCTTCAGAGCAAGGAAAATACAAGCATACTATTTTGAGTGCATATAATCAGATAATATGCTTCTGAAGGTAAGGCTAGTGAAAGATCTCCTCCTATCCACTTCAAAGCCTCTGAAGTCAGTTTTCTACTTTAAACACAGGAACAAGAAAATCCTCCTAAAGGGGAAAGTCTCAAGACTAACACTAAGCTTAAGGTGACTGCTTATTCTTTCACTAAAGAATAAAAATTGTATCACACTAGAACACTTCAAAGCATCAATTTATTCCACCTATTTTTTTTTTGATCAAGTTACCTAAAAAAATCAACCACAAATTTTATTTTCATTATACAGCCTCAAGGACTTTTAAAATATATTACTCTGAACAGCACATCACTCATTGCTCCAGTTGAGCAATTACATATTCTTGCTACATACACTTTTTCTCCAAACTCCTAAATTTTTTTCTTTATAGTATTAGAGACATAATATGTCTGACAGTTAACTATTACACACCGCATGGTTGTTACAAGAAGCTGTAACGATGTGTAATTTAGATGGAGCATACTGATTACTTCTCGAAGAGCTAAACTGAAAATTAAGAGGTTTACAAAACTTAAACTAACAATTTGTACGTGTGAAATTCTTCACTCGCATGTTGGCCCCGATCATGCTTGTTCCTCCTTACGGAAGCATTCAAACCAAAGCCAATGAGACGAGTTATCAGGGTAAGTGTCCAGTTGGTTTTAGTTCCTATGAGATTTGTATTTGTAAGGCCCACAATGTTTACCTCCAGAAGCCTCGTCCTCTCCACCTCTAACCCAATAGCATCCCCACATGACTTCCTTAACTTCTCTGTCTGAAATTAAAACCAAATATTTGTGGCACCCACAAAGAGATATCAAGAGTGTTTGCACTTTCAGGACGTTGATTTTATTTGATACAGTATTTTACACGTTCCTGAGTATACAATGGATATAAAATCCACGTTTGTTTCTCCTAGAAACAAGACACATGAAATGGAGGGGAAGCTGAGCTTTGCATAAAATTCATTTGGCCTTCTGACCTGATTTATAGTTGGTTTATCAGGTGGGTCCTTGTGAACAACCATCTGGTAACGTTTATAGACCTGGTAAGACTCCTGAAATGTGGCTTTGAACTGTGAACTTGGTGGAGATGATCTCACCACCTTCACCTTCAGAAGAAGTTAAACACATTTATTATTACAATATCATGCAATAACTATATATTTATACATATACAAATGTCACAACAGAGAGAAATTTTAAATTTCTGCACAAGGGCCATAACAATTTAATTGATATTAGCCAACAGAAGAACTACACAAATAGTTTTCAGGAAATAATACCAACAAAAAGGTATGCAAATTGACATTTTAAAGAGATTTTGCTGTACTTTTTAAAATCATCTCTTGTAGTTTCATACTATCCTGAAAAATACTTTGAAGGACCCATGCATTTGGAAGACTTGTATCTGTGCTCTTTAGAAAATGACTGGTTTTTTTCCCCAATAATCCCAAGGGGATATCTAGATATTTTTCAAATTGAAAGAGAAAAATGAAACAGTGTTTCCACATTCAATTACGAGTTAATTGTAATAGGAAGTTATCTATCTTCCCCACCATCACCCTTACACATACAAAAATAAAATAATTATTTTTAAAAAATCTGTAAAAAATTGTTCTTTGCAAGAACAATTGCTCCCTAACCAAAAAGGATGCTATCGCATGAGCAACATTGCATTTCTTTTCCAGCATGCTTAAGGCCACGCTCATTTCAAAAACCAGGTAATTTTTGATATGATTCTATTTTCTGAAATAGCATTGGTTCTGAGCTACAAAAAAGCCCCAAAACACCCCACCTGACAGCCATAGTAGGGAGCAAAGACAATCTGGGAAAACACCACTGGAATCATCCTCCTTTTAATTCTCCTTGCATCTTCTAAATGAAGATGTTCAGACAAAGCCATCATACTCCTGTTACACAGCTCATCAGAAAATCTGGAGGAGTCAGTGAAATTCACCAAATTTCATGACTTTTTGTCAGTTATTCAGGGTGAATCTTTTAAACCATTGTCGTGGTTTTACCATCATCACTACCTCTTTGATTAATAACCAAAAGAATATGAAAAAATTAACTTCCAATATATTCATAGTTTTTCAGCTTCCAGAAAAAAAGAAAAAAAATGGTTTTATGGGTCAGAAAGTCCAAAAGTCTTCCAGATGACTGTCTCCATATTAATAATAGATTCAACGGCAACCAGTATATTATGCAAAATTTTCTACCATCACTTTTATGGCTTCCAAAGACATCAACACATATCAATGACATTTATAAAGAGCAGCTATCTTCTTATCGGTTTAATTTTATGAACAGTTACTGCTTTCTTGTCAAGATTCATTAGCATAAATAGTTTAAGTATCTATATACTGCAGAACTAAATATTGAATCTCTCTCATCATTCAACACTCAGTTAATTCAAAGTCTTTCATTTTAAAGTCACACTGCATGAAATCAATTTACAAGTTATTTTGGTAACTGTACTAGTCTCTGCTATGATTGACTGGAAATGCAAGAGTACCCTCTTGTGGTTACACAGAGCTCAGCTGCACCATATATATATAAAAATACATATATCTCTCTCAATCATGCAGTACCACATATATTCCAAGATTTAAACTACAACCATTCCACAAAGTCACAGAAACTAAAAACCTAAGTATTCCAAAAAACTTCTTAACTAGATTTTTTTCCTTGATTTACCTCCAACAACAGTGAAGGAGACATTACCTCTAATTTGTGTCGTGCATCATCAGGTAAAGAGACAAAAATGAAGTCTTCAATGGTTTTGGGTTGGTTTGTTTTAGATTTAGAGTTTTGCGAGAGGAAAACTTGATCTTGTTCTTGAAGTTGAGAGCTTTCAAATGTGCACATCTGGTTCTGAAGGAGTTTCTGCAGTTTTCTTTCTTTCCGTATGTCCTTTGCTTTTCGACATGGTGGCTTGCTCAGATCAGCCCCTTTC